TCTCTCAATGTTTATTTCTTGAATCGTTTGAGTAAGGTGCAGACTTATACCTAAAAACTTGTATACGTATACCTGAATTTCCTGTATACCTAAATACTTCAGAGTGCATTTTCTAAAAATAAGGACATGCTTTTAGGTAACCTCAGTACAGTTGTCAAAATCAGGAAATTAACATTGATTTAATATTATTATCGAATCTACAGACTTTGTCAAATTTCACCCATTGTCCCAATAATGTACTATTGTACAAGAGAAAATTTCACATCATAGAGTGCATTCAGTTGTCATATCTGTTTAGTTTCCTTTAATCTGGAGTATTTCCTCAGTCTATCTTTGTTTTTTCAAGACATTGACATTTTTGAAGAGTGCAGGCCAATTATTTTGTATAATGCCTATGATCTGGGGTTATCTGATGTTTCCTCGTGATAGGATTCAGGTTATCTATTTCCGGCAAGAGTACCACAGAAGTAATGTTACGCTTCTCAGGGCATCATGTCAGGAGGCACAGGATGCTGAAATACTCGTAATGTGATCTTGGATCACTTCATTAAGGAAGTGTCTGCCAGGTTTTCCAGTGTAAAGTTATTTTTCCTTTTGTAATTTTTTGGTGGTAAAATATACTTAAAAAAATTTACCATTTTAACCATTTTTAAGTGTACAGTTCGGTGGGATTAAGTACATTCACATTTTGTTTGTAATTTTGAGGTATTTTTGAAAAGATGCTTTGAGACTTTATAAATAATAGCCTATTACTCCTTGAACTTTTACTCAGTAATGTTAGTATCCGTTGGTGATTTCTGCCTGAATCATTTTCATGATTCCTAAATGGTGATTTTCTAATTCTCCTCATTGCTTCTGCACTTATTTATAATGATACTTTATTTCATTGTTTGTTTTGACACTGTCCCGGATTTGGCCAACGGGAGCCCCTTCAAGCTGATTGTCTTCTTTTGGCCTGCAATTGTTATTGTTTGAGTACTTCCTAACTTTTTACCACAACAAGATGTTCTGGGCTCATCTTGCATTTTCCAAGCTTGATCCCTAGAATGAGTTATTTCTTCAAGGAGCTCTTGTCCTTTTAGCAGAGAATGGCCTTGTAAGCCAGGATCCAGACTCTAGATGTCCTCATTGCAGCTGGGTGTCATTGCTTCTAGGCCCTCTCAGCAGGTGTCTAGGAAGTTGATGTGACGTGTGTGTGTGAGCACACATGTACATCTTTGTCTACTGAAAGCGGTGCGTTGATAGAGATACCTGTGATTACAGTCTAACACTACGGGGTTTATTCTGTCCTTCGTTCCTTCTGTATTCACAGCTCCTTCCAACAGTGAGAACCCTAGCCCCATTATTCGTGTTTTTACTTATTGGCTCAATCCTAAATATCGGAAAATAGAATTGCTAACTCGTACCACTGTTTAAAAGATACCTAGTACATAGAGTTCAATATTTGTCGATAGCTTTTTCCTTTAGCCTAAGGGCATATGGTTTGTCTTCACTGTCCAATAGGGTAGCCACTAACTACGTGAATTGAGATTTGTTGTAAGTGTAAAATATACACTAGATTTTGAAAACTTTGTATGAAATCAGGAATCTTAAGTATCTCAATAATTTTATGTTGATTTTGTATTGAAATATTTTAGATACATAAGATAGAATAAAATATATTAATAAAATTAATTTCACCTACTTTTATTTCAGTGTGGCCTCTAGAAAATATTAATTACATATGTGCCTCCCATTCTGTTTCTTTTGGACAGTGCTGATCTAAAAGCCATGTTCAGAGTTACTAGCGTTAGTTTTCTCTCCTCAGCATTCTTCCCTCCCTCATGTGGTTATTTAGTCATTTGAAATACAGGTCAGTTCTTTTTGTATTCTAACTTTTTCTCCTCATCCTATTCAATCTTATTTATTTTTGAATATGTGAAACATTAACATGGTTCCAAAAGTCAGAAATGTGTAAAAAATACATACTCAGAGCAGTGTCACCCATTTCTTCTGTCCTTTCCACCCTGTTTCCACCCACCCTCTGTAGGTAACCTATCTTATCATTCTTTGAATTATCCTTCCTGTGTGTTTTTCCTCCCAGGAATGAGGAGATACATGTATATTTTCTGATTTGCTCTTCTTTCTTAGATGAAAGGTAGCATACTATAGATACTCTTTTGTACTTTGCTTTTTTCACTTAGCCCCATATATTTTGGAATCCATTCCACATCAGTTTATAAAGCTAGCCCTCTCCCTCTGTCTTTTCCTCCTATGGTTGCACAGTACTCTGTTGTGAGGGTGTTAACCATTCTCTTACGCTGTTTTCAGTATTTTGCATTTACAAATAGTGCTGCAATGACTAATCTTGTCCATATATATTTTTGTTTGTTTGGGTAAATTCTTAAAATGGAACGATTGAGTCAGAACTCTAAAGGCATCTATATAGTTTTCTTAAAAATTGCTAAATGCCTTTCTTTGGGGTTGTACAAATTTGAATTCCCACCGGCAATGTAGGAAAGTGTTAGTTTCTCCACAGTGTCACCATCAGATTGTGTTGTTATACTTTTTAATTTTTGCTAACCTTATAGGTAAGAAATGGCACCTCAATATAGTTTTAATATTCATTTCTCATATTAGTAGTGAAGTTGAACATCTTTCCAAATGTATAAAGGTCATTTTAATATCTTTTTTTTGTGTGAATTGTATCTTTTAAAAAATTTTTCTGTCAGGTTTTTGGATTTTTTTCCTCCCTCAACTTTTAAGAGTTTTAAAAACTATATTAGGAATATTAGCTCTTTATAAGTTATATATGTTACAAATATTTTCTCCCAGTTTGTCAGTTGTCTTTTGACTTTGGAGTGTGTGTGTTTAGGCTTTTATTTATTTATTTATTTATTTATTTTTTGGTGAAGAAGATTGACCCTGAGCTAACACCTGTTGCCAGTCTTCCTCTTTTTGCTTGAGGAAGATTGTCACTGAACTAACATCTGTGCCACCCTCCCTCTATTTTTTGTATGTGGGATGCTGCCACAGCATGGCTTGATGAGCAATGTGTAGGTCTGTGATCCAAAGCCATGAACCCCAGGCTCTCAAAACAGAGTCCGTGAACTTAACCACTATGCCACTGGGCCATCCCCAGGCTTTTATTTTATGTAGTCCAGTTTTTCAGTCCTTTGTTGCATCTGAATTTTGGTTTATATTTAGAAAACCCTTCCCTTTACTCAGGTTAAAGAAGAATTTACATAAGCTTTCTTCTAGTACTTGTATGATTTTAGTTGTTAGATTTGGATCCCTGATAACATTTGGATTTTTTTTAATGAATATTGTGAGTTAATCTTTTTCCAAATGCTAATTAGTTGTTCCAGCATATTTTCTTTAAAAAGTACAGTTTTGCCTGAGTGTTTTGCAATGCCACCTTTGTCATATAGTAAGTTTCCATTGACTTTGTTTCTGGACTTTGTTTTCTTTTGCCCTGGTCTGTCTGATCCTGCACTGTTTATCACACTGTCGTAGTTAGAGATGCTTGATACTGTTTGAGGGGCTAGCTTTTCACATTTTTAATGTTTTGTTGGCTATTCTTATACTTGTTTATTTTTCTGTTGAACTTTACTATCAGCTCTCTGTTTCCATTAAAAAAACTTACTCATATTGAGATTTTTGTTGAGATCACATTAACTTTATAAGTTAGGGAGAACTAACATCTGTATCATGTTGATTTGTGTTGAGTTTTCTATCCAAGAACAAGGAACATCTTTCCATTTGTTCAGATCTACTTTTGTGTCTTTCAGAAATGTTTTAAAGTTTTCTTTATATTGATTTTGTACGCTTCTTGTTAAATTCTCCATTTTTGAAAAAGTTATACTTTTTTAGATCTTTATATCAATATTTAGAGCTACATTATTTTTTAAAATATCTTTATTGTTCTCCATAGTATAATATACCATAATTTATTTAATCTGGCCCATATAGATGGACATTAAAGTTGTTTATAAGTTTTCACTATTATAAATGGTTATGGAATAAGTATCCTTGTAGAATTCAGTTATTTCCTTATGATAAATTCTTTGAAGGAGAATTACCTGGTCCAAAGGCCCTTTGATCTATAAAAGATTTTGAAATATTGTTAAAATGCTTTCTATATTAATAAAATGTATACCTCCGCTAACAATGTGTGAGCCCTATTCAGTCTACATTCACCGAAAGAGTTGCTCTTTTTTTAATCTTTGCCAGTTTGATGGGCAAAAAAAGAGTGTATTTACTTTGCAGTTCTTTGCTGACTGATGTGATTTATTTTTTCTTTGTTAACTGATGAGATTTATTTATTTATTTATTTTTTTGCTGAAGAAGATTAGCCCTGAGCTAACTTATATTGCCAATTTTTCTCTTTTATTTGCTTGAGGAAGATTAGCCCTGAGCTAACATCTGTGCCAGTCTTCCTCTATTATTTGTATTCGGGGCACTGCCACAGCATGGCTGATTAGCGGTGCGTAGGTCTACGCCCGGGATCCGAGCCTGTGAACCCTGGCCCCTGAAGCGGAGCACGCAAACTTAACCACTACGCTACCAGGCCAGCCCCAAGATAAGGTTTATTTTTTATCTGTGTGTTCAACCATCTATTCAGCATATTCTTATTGAGCATCCACCATGTGCCATCCTATAAGTTAGAACTACAGTAATGACTGGAAGTTGAACATCTTTTTCTGTTTTTGATCATCTGTATTATTTTGTTTCTTATCTCATTTTTAGTGACAGTCAATAGGCATTTCATTCCCCTCAGACTAGTTCTCAGAGGACTGAGAATGAGAGAAGATGACATTTCCATATTCTTTTTTGTTGATTAGCCTCTAAAAAGTATTTTTGTGTGTCTTTATTTTCATTGCACATTCTATGGTAAATCACTGTGTTAAACTCTTAGTATCATGAAGTGAGATAATGAAAGTTGAATGCACAGACAGGTGTCAAAGAAGTGATAACTACATATTTTTATAAAAATAACTTTTATTATTATTATTTTCCAGGTGAGGCTGCTGTCCATCAGAAGGGAGCTTTTGTACCATTTGCCTTCAGACAGTCTATCTGCATGTTCTAGAGTTTTATTATTCAAAAAATAAATGTCGCTTATTTGGTAAGTCAGTTAACTATACTTATGCATATTTTTTAGAAATATTGTTTATGTATTCTAAATGTTTGCTTATATTTTGTTCCTTCAGTGTCATTTTATTTTGTAACTCGTATGTAAAACAAGTTTGAAAGTGGCAATTTCCTGAAAGACTTAGGGTCTTTTAAAGGTTTTCTTGCTTCTAGTCACTGACTGTCTTAATTTTGGTGTTTGTTATAGAGAGAACAGGAGCTGATTAAATATTGGAATTAATTCTCAAACTTGGATTACTAGCTTTGCTCTGTTCAGTCTCTTGCCTCTGTAAAAACGGAGAATTAACATTCTTCCTGTCAAGCTCTAGCTTCCCTGTTGTTCACATAGGGAGCAGCAAAGATGCATGGTTATTGTAGGGGTTTGATGAACTGGTTTAGGAAGAATAGATGGTCACTGAATCCTCAGTAAAGCATAACAAAGATGAATGAATAATGCCATCGAAGAACTTGGAAATGAAAGATAATTAGCTATCTAGTAAAACTGATTTTAATTTTTTTTCCTTAAAGATTGGCACCTGATCTAATAACTGTTGCTAATCTTCTTTTTTCTTTTTGCTTTTTCTCCCCAAATCCCTCCAGGATATAGTTGTATATTTTAGTTGTGGGTCCTTCTAGTTGTGGCATGTGGGACGCCGCCTCAACATGGCCTGATGAGTGGTGCCACGTCTGCACCCAGGATGAGAACTGGTGAAACCCTGGGCTGCCGAAGCGGAGCATGCAAACTTAACCACTCGGCTATGGGGCTGGCCCCGTGATTTAAAATTTTTTTTTTTTAAGATTTTATTTTTTTTCCTTTTTCTCCCCAAAGCCCCCCAGTATATAGTTGTATATTCTTCGTTGTGGGTCCTTCTAGTTGTAGCATGTGGGACGCTGCCTCAGCGTGGTTTGATGAGCAGTGCCATGTCCACGTCCAGGATTCAAACCAATGAAACACTGGGCCGCCTGCAGCGGAGTCCGTGAACTAAACCACTTGGCCATGGGGCCAGCCCCTGATTTTTTAATACTACTCTATAGGTGTTTATTTTCAATTAAAATTTTTTTCCAAGAAGACGTAGTAAGTTGATAGGACCTGCTATTTTGTGAGAGATTTTTCTTACCTGCATCCTCTGATGATATTTTCAGTTTATTCCAGCTTCTGGCTCTCATGTGTAACCAGTGGCAACTGGGAGGCTGATGTGTAGGGTGAAGGCTTTACTGGTAACGAGAGAATCAGTAACAGCAACTGTCAGAAGATAATTGTACTTGTGTGCTGCTGAAACACATGGCAAAAGTTGGGTGAAAACTTAATAAAATGATACTGATGATTTGCAGAATTGTCTTTTAAATGGTTTTGCACAGCAAGGCATGGTGAGACATAAATGTTGATGTGGAGAGCTGAGCTTAAACAATGTTGTCTCAGATAGAATCTAAGGATGAGGAGCTATAGGCACGGAAAAAAGGAGAAAGATTCTTTTTGATAGTCTCTTTGCTTTTGTTAGCATCAGAAGCTGACTTCAGATGTTTGCTAGATGGGATGTGTGGCTCGTTTAAGTGGAGGCATGGGGTTTCATCGTACATAGCTCTGAAATGACCCAGCTCTCAGAGCAAACCAAAGTGAATTTTAATCTTGGTTATTTAAAATCTCCTTGTGCCTGTCTTATTAGAAGTATTATTTTTTAAGAAGAAAGTAATTTGCAACTGGCTATAAAGAGTGACATTGTGTCCGGGAAAATGCTGTACTAATACTCTGTGCTGTCCCACAAGAGTGCTTCTCAAGTCCCCAAACGCAGTGCTAACAATCTGTGACAGCCTGTTGAGTGTTGGGCAGCATTTTGGGAAGGTGGACAGCAGAATGAGGTGGTTGTGTGTAAGTTTTAGAGGGGATGGGGAGGGGAAGAGATGAGAGAGGAGCAGAGCAACTCAGTTCTGTGGGCAATTCAGATGGAAGCTATTCTCGTTAGCTCTGCTAAATATGAAATAAACAGGTAGAGTGTGTGTGTGGGTTTTGGTAGGGTAGAAATAGTGTGTTTCACTTTTCTTTTCAAGGTGTTAGTATTTTATTCTCTCGTCAAAACTGTAAGGTTAAATGTTATATTGATGAGAGTATGGATTGGATAGATTTAAAAGTTTTGAAGAGAGTAGCAATATCATTTCATGCCAGGAAATGAGACTATAAAAGTCAGAGTAATGGGGATTGGGCTTATCTTTTCCAGGAATTATTGCACTGGTATAAGGCCATTTACCATATCTGGATCCAGAATGACTAGGCCTTTATCTCAGACAAAGCCTTTATCCTGTTGTTTATTTATTTATTAGATTTTGTACACACATATACACATACCACCAGATGGTATTATTTCAGAAACAATTGGCCAACTATAGCCATCTTCATCGGACCTCAAGGCATGAGTTTCTGGATATTATTTGGATTGTGGAGTAGAATTTAATGTGGGGCAAACTTTGGTTCTATTCTTTCTCTGATTATGATTATACCTAGTAAATGTATTTGATTACTCCCCTAGGTGTAATGTCTAATTCTGAATATGAGATTAGATTTGGGGTACATTGTTTTAGAGCCTCTCTCTCTTGTTGGTCCTATTCCTTGTTTTTGGTTAATATGTTACAGCTTGGTCATTGATACCATTGGATTAAGTAAGCATAAGAGAGATGTCAGTCTTAAGATTGTGTGCTATCTCAGTGCCTCTACACTGATGATGCATATTAAAAAAGATGCCAGGGGTAAATGAAAGGGCAAATGGGGTAAGGGAAGACACTGTAATAGTATCACTTTTCAGGAGTTGTCTGTAAGGTCTAGATTCAACTTTTCATTGCTTAGGATATCACATGCCTAAACCTAGTGCTGAAGGTCCTCCAGGCTGAAAACAGTCCTTCTGACCGAATATTCCACTATTTCCCTACATTGAACCCTTGCCTCTAGCTAGACTAGTTTTTACAACTATCTCGAAAATAACCCTTTTTGACATACTACCTCTTCATATGTTCAAGCCGTGCTTTCTGCTTGGAGTGTCTTCCTTGAGTTCTCTCTCTCAATGCCAGCTTCCAAAGGCCGAGTTCTAATTCCACCTACTTTATGACGTCTTCTTCAACCGTTCCAGGCCCTTGGTGATATGTCTCTTCTCTGTGTTTTTATCATTTACTGCTTTTCTCTTTATTTATCATTTATATACTACTTTAAAACAACTTAAAGAAAATCTTCTTATTTTCCCAAATAGAGACAACTTAAAGGGGAGGCTACGTTATTCATGTGGTTCAAACCATTTTATTACTTGTAGGCTTAGTTTACATTCTCCACTGCCTCTAGCATAGATCTCAGTACAATATGTGCACTTAGTAAATATTTGTTTGACTGTGAGAAAATGCCATTACCTACTGTTAGCTTTTACCAGTCTTCAACATTTATCTTTCTTTTTGTATCATAAGAATAATAGATTAGAATGCAGTTTAGGTACCTGAGCATGTTTGTTAAGTAGATTATTCTTCTTTGAAAGGCTTCTGTAGCACTCGGTATAGGCTTCTTGATCCTTAAAGGAGCATTGTGCTAAAGATATTATTATATTCTAAGGTAAGCATTTGTTATTCTTGAAACTTTAATTAGGTAAACTTTCAATCTGCATATGTAAGAAGCTCTTATTTATTAATTATCTAATACTTTCTTTGCTTGCTTTAAAGTGTTTCTTACGAGCCACATTGGCCTTCACACTAGCTAATGTAGCTACAATGCGGAAGATGAGGTACATACAGGGTTGTAACTCTCTCTCTAACATAGGGACTCCACCTCCTTTACAGCTGTTCTCTTTTGTTGCTATTGCACTTTGGTGTTTTTTGTTTTTAAACTATTCTCTGCTATGTTTTATTTTACCCCATTTTTTAGAAGGCATGTATTCTAGTCTACTGTAGTAGTTAAGTGCAGGAACTTTGAAATCCTAACCAACAGTTGCAATCTGTGAGATCTTAAGTAACTTAAGTTTCAGATTTCTCATCTGTAAAATTGAGCTAATAGCTACCTCTTAATATGTAGTTGGGATCAAATGAGGTAATATATGTAAGACACTTGGCACAGATTACGCCTAGTGGCCTCTATTTTCAAAATTTATTCAATGGTTTATTAGCCTTAGTCTGTGAATCCTAAATGGTAAAAAAGATGAAGTTTAGTGGATGTCTAGTTTGAGGCTTAGCCCCAAAGCCTAATGCATTCCAGCTCTTCTGTTGTCAACTATAGGATATCACTGTAACCCAGGATAGATCCAGGAGAGGAACTAATTTCAAATAAGTCTAGAAGCACAAACAACCTCCAGATATGTAGTGAGGGAAATAAGTTTTAGGAGGGAGTTTTTCCCTTCTTGCTTTCCCCCTTACTGCCTGCCAGGCACATATGCAGAGTAGGAAGCAGACTTTTTTCTCTCTTCTTACATATTATATTGCTATTGTTCAGTTATATTAAAGCTTTGGTCTGACTCCCTTTTGAGGTGGTCAATAATAGGTGTTAACATTAAACTTGGAAGAGTTAAGTTGGTGAACCATGGCGTTACCATATCAGTGGAGTGTGAGAGAGACTAAGCTGCGGACTGTTTCCTGATCTTAGAAAGCGTGAAATCAGTTGGTGCCGATGCATGGCGACTACAGCCAGTGGAGTGTAAAATAAGTTGGGGGCAGGAATTGTGTCATGTTGCAAGAAAGACATTTTCAAGCCATAATTTATGTATTTTGGGGCTCCCATGATCCTACCGGAATCATGTATTTTGTATCTTTCATAGTCTTGATACTCAGATTTTTCATGAACTGTTTCTTGAACTGTTCTGCAGTCTGTATTCTTTGTCTAACTGCATGCAGAGAGGCAAAGGCTGTAAATGTCCAAGGCAGACTAATATTGAAATACTGTAACTATTAAATTCTGTTTAACATTAAATCTGAAAATACCATCTGCAGTAGGTATTTGATGTGCCGAGTTTCTTTTGTTTTTAGACTCAGATTTGA